AGCAACCAAGCTCTCAGCGTCCTTTCAACCTTTCCATCAGAGACTTGGGACCTGTCCCTCTCTCGACCGTTTGTACCCCCTACTATGAACCTTTCAGTGCTAATAACATGAGCAGCAGCAGCAAACTGGACGTAGGGACATTCTGCCCGAACCAGTATAAACCTTATATCTTTTAGCACACCATCTGAGCCCAACACGCAACAAATACAAATTTACTAGTTGGTGTTTACTCAAAACACCGACACCTGTGGATCGGTTCGGTGTCATTCTCAGGATCCAAAGGATCGCTGGGACCTCTGCAACCCATCGCCCGGCATACTTATTGAGTCCAAGATGCGAGGCTTGAGTCCTTGGAGGACCATGCCATTGGCTCGCTCGACCTGACCGTTAGTACATGGATATCCGACCGAGGCCCAATCGATCCTGATGCCGTATCCATCATACAAGTCCAAGAACTTCTTCCCGGTGAAGTTAGTTCCGTGGTTAGTGATGATACAGTTACGAACATTGAAACGATAGATGATGTCGAGGAAGAACTTGACCGCCTCCTCCGAGCGAATGTTGGTGATGGGCTTCACCTCTATCCACTTGGTGAATTTGTCCACTGCTACGAGCAGGTGAGTGAAGCCGTCTGGGCCCTTTTTGAGGGGTCCTATCAAGTTGAGGCCCCAGACCATGAACGACCAGGTGATGGGGATGGTTTGAAGCTCCTGTGCTAGCAAATGAGTTTGCTGTGCGTAGAACTGGCATCCCACACACCTGTGGATGACCTCCTCTACATCTCATAGCGCGGTGGGCTAGTAAAAACCTTGGCGAAAGGCTTTTTCGACTAGCAACCTCAGGGTCGTGTGATGTCCGTAGATTTCGGCATGGACCTCGAGGAGGAGTTGTTTCCCTTGGTTGGTAGGGATGCATTTCATGAGTACTCCTAATGGACTTCATTTGTAAAGTTTGGTACCAAACATGATGAACGTCTTGGTGCGTCAAGCGATCCATTGTGCTTCAGTCCATTCAGGTGGGAGGACCTCCTTGAGGAGGTAGGCGAGTAGCAGCGCTCGCCAGTCGGCTTGATCAAGTGCTACCAAGGCGACGTCGGTGGGTAATGTCGTCATGGAGGCACCAAGGTTAGAGCCCCCTAGCGCTAGGTTGGCATCGGGGTGTGTCTAGATCGGACCTTCCAGGATGCGAGTAGACGGCTCATGAAGGTCGTCGATGAAGACCCCATCTGGAGACATAACCCGCTTAGCAGCCAATTTTGTGAGAAAATTGGTGGCATCGTTGTCCTTTTGGGGGACATGATGTAGTTCGATCCCCTAGAATTTGTCCTCGAGCTTGTGCACCTCCTGGCACTATGTTGTCATGAGGGGGCTTTTACAAGAGTATTCCTTTATGACTTGGTCGATGACCAACTCTGAGTCACCACGGACGTACAGCCGCGTGGTGCCGAGCTCAATGGCGATGCGTAGTCTATTGATGAGGGCCTCATATTCCGTGGCATTGTTTGAGGTCGAAAAATGGAGGCGGATCATGTAGCGGAGCCTGCTCTGGTCTGGGGAGATCAGAACTACTCCAGACCCCGAGCCAGGCGCCATTACCGATCCGTCGAAGTACATCGTCCAGTACTCGTGGGTGACGTCTGGGGTTGGGAGCTGGACCTCCATCCATTCGGCGACAAAGTCCACGAGAGCCTGAGACTTGATAGCGGTGCAGGGATATACCTGATGTCGTGGCCCATTAGCTCGAGTGCCCACTTAGAGATTCGTCCTGCGGCATCGCAGTTGCGGATGATGTCTCCTAGCGGGTATGAAGTGATGACCAGGACTTCGTGGTCGGTGAAGTAGTGTAGGAGCTTCTAGGTCACCATTAGCACGGCGTATAGAAGTTTCTGCACCTGGGGGTACCGAACCTTGGCATCGGTGAGTACCTCCCCGATGAAGTATACGGGTCGTTGGACCTTAAGGTGGTGTCCTAGCTCCTCCCTTTCGACGACTAGGGCGGCGCTCATCACGTGGTTGCTTGCCGCGACATAGAGGAGAAGGGGTTCTCCCCATTCGGGAGCCACGAGGATTGGGGCCGACGTCAGTGACACTTTGAGGCTCTTCAAAGCCTGTTGTGCTTCCTCAGTTCAGACGAAAGCGTTAGTCTTTTTGAGAAGCTTGTAGAGAGGCATCCCCTGCTCGCCTAGCCGGAAGATGAACTGGCTCAGGGTGGCCAAGAAGCTGGTGAGCCTTTGTACGCCCTTGGCATTGCGTATAGGGCCCATGTTGGAGATGGCCGTGATTTTTTTGGGGTTGGCCTCGATACCGCGTTCGGACACAATGTATCCAAGCAGCTTCCCTTTTGAAACCCCGAAAGCACATTTTTTGGGATTCAATTTGATGTTGAACCTTCAGAGGTTCGCAAACGTTGCGGCCAAGTTTGCGATCAGGTGACAAGCTTGAGTCATTTTGACCACTATGTCATTAACATAGACGGCGATTGTCGGTTTTGGCCGCTCGATTTGGTTAGGCTGGTCGAGCGGGTCAATTTGGTCGGCGAAGCATTGCTGCATGCACCGTTGATAGGTGGCACCAGTGTTCTTCAAACCAAAAGGCATGGTTACGTAATAGTATGAACCATACGGGGTGATGAATGAGGTTGCAAGATGGTCGGACTCTTTCATCGTGATCTAGTGATAGCCTGAGTAGGCATCCAGAAAGGAGAGGATTTCGCATCCCGAGGTGGAGTCGACTATCTGGTCTATGCGTGGCAAAGGAAAATGGTCCTTCGGACATGCTTTGTTGAGGCCAGTATAATCAATGCACATTCTCCATTTCCTAGTCTTCTTTTTAACAAGAACAGGATTGGCAAGCCAATCAGAGTGGTATACCTCCTTGATGAATCTGGCTACCAAGAGTTTGGCGACCTCCTCGTCTATGGCCCTGCGCCTCTCATTGTCAAAGCGACGCAGGCGTTGCTTGGCGGGCTTTGAGCCTAGGATGAGGCGTAGTGCGTGCTTGGCGACCTCCCGTGGTATGCCTGGCATGTCAGAAGGTTTCCATGCGAAGACATCACGATTGGCGCATAGAAAGTCAGCGAGCTCGCATTCCTATTTGGCCAGGAGCTAGGTCCCGATTCGCACCGTCTTGGTTGGGTCGGTGGGGTCGATTCCCACCGCCTTAGTTTCTTCGAGTGGGCAGAAGGCAGTCGAGGAGGTTGGCTTGTTGCAGTCTGAGACTGCTGGGGTCGACGATTCTCCGAGACGAGGGAGCTTGGCTGAGTTGATGACGGCAGTGGCGAGCTCGTAATGCTCGCGGTCGCACGTGTAGGCGTGCGAAAAGGTGCCACCCACAGTGATGACGCCATTTGGTCCTGGCATCTTCAACTTGAGGTAGGTGTAGTTGGGGATCACCATGAACTTGGCGTAGCATGGCCGCCCCAAGATGGCGTGGTAGGACCCTTGGAAGTCCACCACCTCGAAGGTGAGGACCTCCGAGCCAAAGTTGGCTCGGTCTCCAAACGTGACGGGCAGGCCGATCTGCCCGAGCGGGTATGCCTGTGTTCCTAGGATCACGCCGTGGAAGGGAGAGCTCACTGGACGGAGCTCCGACCAGAGGATGCGCATGGCGTCAAGGGTTGTCTGTTGTCTGGTCATTTCTCCCCTTGCTAGGAGGGAGCGCATCCCCTTTTATAAGTTAAGGGGATGGCCTTACAAGAGAGAGAGAGTGTGTGTGCGCTATCTAGTCTAGTTGCCCACGCCGTCGGATACAAGACGGTTTGTCGGCGCCCACAATACTGTTGACGCCCAAATGCATGTGGTAGGCTCCATCGTATTCTTCTGGTATGGTGAATGTCGGCGCCTACCATACTGTAGGACAAACGTCGACGCCCACAACACTGTTCGTGTTCTGACATGTCTGGAAGGTTGCAGAGCACCCTTCTGACATGGTCTGGCGGTACTGTCCTGCAGGTGTGCAGGGTACGGTCCTCGGTATTGTGGTTGACTTGAGCGCCCTGCCTTACTTGCCCCGCCTGATTCTTTGGGTCCTTACCGAGCGGGCGTCCCTGTTCAGTTGTTTCCCAGTCGGCTCCGACCACGCCGGTCGGAGAAGAGCTGTAAGCAGAGGTTCAGTGTATTTTCGGTCGGAGAAGCGGGTCGGAGTCGGAAGCGAGCGTCGTCCCCTCCTTGGCCAGGCCTTCCGGTCGGAGAAGCGGGTCGGAGTCGGAAGCGAGCGTCGTCTCCTCCTTGGCCAGGCCTTCCGTCCGGAGAAGCCGGTCGGAGTCGGAGGCCTTTCGGTCGGAGACTGGATCACTTTTCCGGCCTGTTGATAGGTATCTGGGCCGGCCCAGGAGTTGCGCGTCGTTTGTGATGCCGTCTATTGGGCCAAGCTTTTGCTAGAAAGCGGACCTATTAAAGACCCTGGTTTATGAACCCGACACTAATAACATGGCCATAGAGACCCATTCCAGATCCTTGCATGTTCTTCCCTGTGTTCGCTTGGTCGGTGGCGATCCTAACCGTAGCAAGAGGTTGCTCGCGAGAGCTAAACCTTCTCTGCGTGCCATTGCTTCCGCCGTCTCTTGTTCTGAGACACCCTCTCATCTGATTGGTTCGTTTTTTTTATAATTGTTTGGTTCAATTTTAACTCACACACACACAAAAAACCAACGTGCGAACGCTCCAATGTTGAAAGTTTTCATCCCATGGTGCCCTTAATTGGGCCGTCCATGCGCGTGTTGCGTGCAGCACTTACCTGCGGCCCACCACAGAGGACAAACTACAGTCGACGGAGCATGTTCCAAGCCAAGCCTTCCGAATTCTGACAGTTTGCTCCCTTTGTGCTCGTTGCCCGACGTTGCGGAGTGCAAATTGTCCCCCTTCCCCCTCGACTATTCCACCCCAATCCCCATCCATTCAATCAGACCAGGACGCTGCCGCGGTCCGCAGGTCTTCTCCTACAAAACCACCAGAGAAAACACGGCCGGGCATCACGCGCAAAGCGAGACTACTACCTGGAGCTATGCCACTCCGCTTGGCCGCCTGCCGCGTCTTCCTGCTCTTCGCCGCGGCCGCCGCCGCCGCAGCGGCCGAGTCCAACAGCTCCGCGAACTGCACCCTCCGTGACGGAGAAATCGTCCGCGCGGCGTTCAGGCAGGTCGCCAACTTCCCCTTGCCGCTGCCCGGCCGCCGCGCGTGCCGCCCCGTCAGGCGGCTCCATTTCCCGTCGCGCAACCTTATGGGTACCGTGAACTGGGCCGAGCTAGGCAACCTGGCCAGCCTCCTCACCGTCGACCTCTCCAACAACTCTCTCCATGGCCGCATCGACGACAGCTCGTTCTGGCGCGCGCCGCTGCTCCGGGCCGTGGATGTCTCCCGTAACCACCTCGAAGGCGTCCTCCGGTTCGACTACCCGAGCACGCGCCTGGCGACGCTCAACGTGTCCGGCAACCGGTTCACCTCCGTCGAAGGCGTGGCCCGGCTCTCCGGCGTGGTGTACCTCGACGTGTCGAGGAACGCCATCGGAACGGTGCCAGCGGGACTGCGGAGCCTGACGCTGGTGCGCGTGCTTAACCTGTCCGGGAACCACATGACCGGGAGGTGCCCCGTCGACCTCCCGCCTCTCGCCGGCCTCCAGGTCTTGGACATCTCGCACAACAATTTCTCCGGCGTGGTTGACGCCGCCACCGTCCTTAAGTTCGGAAAATCCTCCTTCTTCCAAGCCGGCAACACGTTGCGAGTGATCGCGGACATCGCACCGGCGCCGGCGCCGGAGCTGGCACCGTCGTCTAATGGCGGAGAGAAGCACAAACGTGCGGTCACCATAGCGCTAGTCTCAGTCGGCGCGGCGGTGACCGCAGCCGCGCTGGCGTTCTTGGCCGCGTGCGTGGCGTGCGCCATGACGCGTCGCCGGAAGAAGAAGAAGGACAAGGACGGGAAAACAGCGGTGTGGGAGGACGACGAGGTGTTGGTGGGGGCAGTGAAGGTGACCGCCGCTGCGCCGGTGGTGGTGCTGGAGCGGCCGCTAATGGAGCTGACGCTGGCGGACCTGGCCGCGGCCACGTCCGGGTTCGGGCGCGAGTCGCAGCTCGCGGACACGGGCGGCCGCAGCGGGGCCGCGTACCGCGCCGTGCTCCCTGGGGACCTGCACGTCGTCGTGCGCGTCGTGGAGGGCGCCGTGGCTGGAGTTGGGGAGGACGCCGACGAGGCCGCCACGGAGGCCGCGTTCCGGGAGCTTGCACGGCTCAGGCATCCGAACATTCTCCCGCTCCTTGGTTACTGTATTGCAGGTCAGCTTCACACTCCTATCAAACTAACTTCGTTTACCAGGCAGTAGTAAATTAAGAAGAACATATGGTCATCCTATTCTTGTCAAGATTGTACAAATTTTTAATAAAACTGATTAACAGTATCACCTTATACATGAACCAAAGTATGCTGGTATATATATAAATAAACATCAAGAGTCCAAGACGCCAGAGAAGAAACTGAAAACAACATAGAAGTGACAGCAGGGCCCACCGGGCAAGTTGCATTTGTCATTTAAGTTAAACTGGCTTCTGGAAACAAGAATAAGTTATCACATACTGTACTCCTGTTATTCTACATGACTGCAGAGATATTCTAGAAACTGGTTAGCAAGGCCTAGTTTTAATTTAGGGTTTAAAGTTTTAGGGTGTTATATGAGTGTGTCGCATGGGGTGTTCGAATATTAATAAAAAAACAAATTATAGAATCTATCAGTAGTCCGCGAGACAAATTTATTAAAGCCTAATTAATCCGTCATTACCACATATGTACTGTAGCACTACATTGTCAAATCATGGACTAATTAGGCTTAAAAGATTCGTCTCGCAAATTAGTCGCAAATTGTGCAATTAGTTATTTTTTAGTCTATATTTAGTATTTCATGTATGTGGCAAACATTTGATGAGATATGGAGTAAACTTCAGGGACAACTAAACAAGAATTAGCATCACGAATCAGCGAGAGCTGAACATTCTGCTGCTGCATCTTCTTCTTCCTATCGGAAGGACAGCTTAACATACTTTGGTCATTAGTCATTACGATCATCAGAATTCTGATCTTTGGATTTTTATGTATACATACGACAACAGGGAACCAGAAGCTTGTGCTTTACGAGTACATGGAGAAAGGCGACCTCCACCGGTGGCTCCACGAGCTACCAGTGGGGAGCATGGACACCGAGGACATCTGCATCGACACGATGGAAGCCATCGAAGACAGAAACCCCGCGGGCGACTGGCCTACTCGGTACCGCATCATCCTGGGCATCGCCCGAGGGCTCGCGTTCCTGCACCAGGGATGGGCAGGGGCAGCAGGGTCCGGCTCCGGCCGGCGGCCCATCGTGCACGGCCGCCTGGTCCCGACCAACATCCTCCTCGGCGACGACATGGAGCCCCGGATCTCCGACTTCCTGCACCCGAGCAGCAGCAGCAGCGACGAGACGTCGACGCCGGCGAGCGACGTGTACCGCTTCGGCACGCTGGTGTTCGAGGTGGTGACGGGGCAGGCGAGGTGGAGCGACGCGTCGACCACGAGCTGGGCGCGCGGCGTGATCCGGAACCGCAAGGGCCTCAACCTCGTGGACGATCGGCTGCGGGACGAGACGGCGGGCACGGAGGCCGAGAAGGAGTTGGCCGAGTGCCTCCAGGTGGGGTTCCTCTGCACGGCCAGCGCGCCCGAGAAGAGGCCCACCATGCAGCAGGTGGTGGGGCTGCTCAAGGACGTCAGGCCGGCGGCGACTGCCGGAGCCGGAGGAGTGCCGCCGCTCGGGTCGCTGGCCTCATGATGCAGTGAGCAGTGTAGTGATGAGCGCACGCACGCGACTACGCGAGGATGTGGTGGTAGGTAGCTGGAGAGTAGCAAGCACGGATCGGAGCACAGCAGGCTGCTTTTTCGCACGGTAGCTCATAAATCCAAGAAGATTCGTGGTGATTTTTGGGGCAGCGAAATACCGCTTCTGTGCGCTGCTTTTGTGGGGGCCCTTTTGTTGGGTTGTGTTGTTTCCATCTTGTTTTCGTTGAAGGTAGGATGGCACTTTTATTGGTTGGTATGAACCGCGACTTTGCTTGTGGCGGCAGGACTACTCTTTTGTCATTAATAAACACGAGGTGCCTAGAGTGAGAGTTCCTTTCGATTGCACCAACATATGCTTCTGACACATTCTATACTTTGTCTTCACCGGAATGGAGAGCGCCCACTGTCACGTAGTACGTCAGGGCTACGGCCCCGTTTGGTTTATCCCATATTTGGTTTATTTAGCTTTTTTTCAGTCATAACAGTGTTTTTCAGTCAATTTCAGTTAAAATTCTGCCAGCCAAACGGGGCCAATTCTATCTTCGTGTTCCAACTTCCAAGTACGGTCCCCGTCCACGAAAGAAATACAATTATGGCATCCCTATCCGTTAAAATAGCTCGAATTTAATCGAGTTTAGAATTAATAGTATCCACATTTACATCTCCAAATTGGTTTATTATAAAAATATGTTTCATAATTAATCTAATAATGCTTATTTTATATCATAAATGGTAATATTTTTTCATAAAACTTCAGTCAAACGTGAAATTATTTGATTTCTCAAAATGCGAGAATTGTTTTTCTTTGTGAACAAAGCGAATACACAATAATATGGATTTTTCAAAGAAGATGTAATCTTCTTTTAGTATTATTGGAAAAGTTTTTAAAGAAGAGAAAGAAGAAGTGAGTTTTATGAGGATGAAACTCTTTTAGCACGATTATCAATTCTATATGAGTCATGAAATTAAATGTATATGAAACCATAGAATAAACTTTCTATTGAGAGTGGATATTTTCTCTCTCCATCATTGACATAAAAGACTTGGAAACAACGCTATAAAACTCCTTACTGAGACTAACCTATTTACGGGATAGCCTCAACATATTCTAGGTATTTGAAAATAGACATGTAGCAGTACTTAAGTCAAACCCTTCAAATAGTTTGACTCCGTTGATTCCTAGATATTGTGCGTGTGAACAAAGGAAGCAGTACACTGCAAGTGCCGTTGCCTTGAAGCCATCCCAGTAGCTAATTAATCATCCCATTACAACACATAAGACACTGGATTTTATTCGTGGTATCTACAGTATATATCGTGATGGATGGAGTGTCCCGGAATGAGTTGAACACGTAACTGTTGCCAAGATGGCGACTGATTGCGACTATGATTGGACGGAACGATGACCGGTCGTTGCTTTGTGTAACTTTTTTGTTTCTTTTATTTTCTTTATTATTAGTTGAAATGCCATGTAGCAAATAAACAAGAGTCAATAGACTCTCGTCACGTTATTATAGTGACGGTTCTGTTACTGTCCGGCTTCCAGAATGGAAAAGGCAAAGCAGGAACGGAAGGGCGTGTTAATTGGCGTGAATATTTACTTCCTCCCTAGTTATAGTAGAAATTCTAAGATAGATTATGGGATAAAACAAATGATGCATGTAGTTGGTCCTTAACTATAGAGAGATCTTGTATTTACTATATTTTTTAGCCTGTTGGTAGACAGTAATGATATGTATGTATGTGATTGGTGATTAATGGGAATTAACTCATCTGAAATATCTTATAATTTGATTGAAAAAAAAATACTCAAGTACAAAGTACTACCTTAGGCCTTGTTTAGTTACCGTTTAGTTGGCAAAATTTTTGGCGAAATGCATTGTAGCACTTTTCGTTGTTATTTGGCAATTAGTGTTCAATCATAGTCTAATTAGGCTTAAAAGATTCGTCTCGTGAATTTCGTCTAAACTGTGTAATTAGTTTTATTTTTTATTTATATTTAATGCTTCATACATGCGTCCAAAGATTCGATGTGACGGGGAATCTTGAAAAAATTTGGCATTTTTGAGTGGAACTAAACAGGGCCTTAGTTCAGTCGGAATCGGCATTTGCACAGTGTTTGATGTGACCGTAAACACTGTAGTAATTTCGTTTGTATTTGTGAATTATTGTCCAAACATTGACTAATTTGGCTCAAAAGATTCGTCTCGCAAAGTTCAACCAAACTGTGTAATTAGTTTTTTATTTCATCTACATTTAGTACTCCATATATGTACCGCAAATTTGATGTGACGGGAAATTTTTTCTGCATAGTGCCAAAGGCCTGTTCACTGGTGGGTGCTGGAGCTGGTTTGGGCTGGCTGGTGCTGATTTTTTTGAGAGAAAAACACTGTTAGCTAGTTGATTTGGGCTGACTGAAACCAACAAACGACCAGGCTGAAAGTTAAGAGTTTAGGAGAACTAAACACCGCCTTATAGTATTTCAGAATGGAGTATACATCACGTATATGCTAGTGGCAGCAACCATGTCATTAACACTCGATCGAATGTTTTTTCCCGTTATGGGTCTGTTCGTTTGCTTCAGCTAAAAGACGGATGCTGCTGCAGCTGTAAACTTATATAGCTCCGTGTGCCCCTGCAAACTATAGTTGTGTGCCACTTAATGGCGGATCTAGAATTGAAAACCTGTAAGGCCAAAGCTCCGTTGGAATTTAGATGGGCTTGGCTCATATAAGAATTTTCCAAAAATTCCTAAAGAAATCTCAAAGGCTCATTCATATGTGCAAGAGGGGATGTGGGAACTCTTTAGTCACATCTTACTTGTGGAAGTGAAGGAGAAAGGGAAGCCCACACGCGCTCGCTCGTCTCGCCTCGCCGGGCGGGGCAGGGCGTGGGTGTGCGGCACCTGTGTGAATGGTCCGCCAAAATCCAGCTCCTCGCGCGGCTTCCATTTGTAGTTTTTAGTTTTGGTTTCTTGGCCTTCAAGTTTGCCGAGTCCTAAACGGTTTAGAACGTGATCGCAACACGAGATCAACTTGAACATGACTATATAAGCAGCTATCGGCCATGCCAAAACATATCCAATCGAGCTAGGGTTTTTGCCTCTTTTCCGCTGTTGCGCCGCCGCCGTAGCTTCTCTAGTCCATTCGCTTGCGTGCACCGGTGATTGGGCGAGCAGGTCTCTAGAACCTTCGTTCTTGCGATCCTGCACCGGGAGAGGACGAATAAGGTTTTTGGAAGCGCTCTTCGCGCGACTGCTCCCAACCTTCACGACAGGTCGTCTTCCATCCAAGTCAGGCGACACTATGTCCCGGCGCATCTACCGTCAACTGCTCCGATCTCTTCCTCCACCGCTCCCAACCTTCACGACAGGTCGTCTTCCATCCAAGTCAGACGGCGCTATGTCCCGGCGCATCTGCCGTCAACTGCTCCGATCTCTTCCTCCACCGCTCATCGACCATCTCGTGCCACCATCACCTGCAACGTCACCATCTACATCTCCATCACCGTTGACGTCATCTCCTTCTGCAGTCGAAAGGTATATACCTCGTGATCCAATGTCTTCGTTTATGCTATTTGATATGATGACTAGTGTCCGAGCTAGGTTTACACTAGTTCTTTTATTCAGGCTGTTTATTTATGCTAATATACAAGCTATGCTTAATCTTGTTCTTAAGATTGTCATGATTTATATTCTGGTTTTAATCTAAAAATTGTCTAATTACTTAACAAGATCGATTGACATCATCAATATATATAATTGCCAAATTTATAAGGAGTATAAACCTATTTTGGCAAAAAAAAAAAGTCACAGCTAAAGCCTAGATCTGCCACTGGTGCCACTGATACGAGCGGCTGAGCAGGCGCGTAACATTCTTTCCTCTCTGTGGACCATTTTTTCTTTCCTCTTTTTTTTCAGTTGTGAAAAATACTACACCGTGATACAAATGTTCTACTTGAAGGAGAAAAATGTTCTACGTGATAAAAACAGGTTTAAATATTTTTAGTTTTGCTTAAGGTACAGATGACACAACCATCATTTTTTTAGTTGCTTAAGGTACAAATAACACCACCATCAATTATACCATATCCTTTTTTGCCTTTACACCACTCACAATTATTTCAACATCTTGGACAATAAAGTCACGCATAAACGGGTTTCAATTTAATCTGTTGAAATTGAAATAGCAGATTCGCTACTGAATCTGTTCAAACTAACATTTAGTTGCGAACTACTGTCAAATGTACTTGATTTCACATGGACAATCCAATAAAATCAGAAAACCATGAATTACCTGTAACTTGTATAAGAAATAAAGGATGAACATGTAAATTAAAACTATTACGTGTTCTCTCATAGATAAGGGGATTGCACTCAGTTGATCAATTTAAACAACGATTCAAATTTACCTTTTGTCGTATATCCAATTTATTTTGGAAAATTTTAACGGTATTAGTATGTTTGTATAGACAAGGTGGTTCACATTATAGAGTAATATACTTTTTGACATATTACTGCAAAGGTTAAGAGTAGTAAATTTCACTTTTGAAACTGTCAGCCTGTTCGTTTCGGCTGAAACGATTGCGGATTATTACTGCTGGCTGGTTTGGTGTGAAAAAAAAAATACTGTTCTGGCTTATAATCCACGATCATTTACGACCAAACGAACAGGCTATGTGTTGCAGTTGCCAGTTGGTATACAGCCTATGTAATTCTATACCTCTATGTTGATCTCTAAAAATACTAAAACACCACTTTTTAGTGACCGGTGGGAACATGTTTTTTTTAATTACGATCACCATTGTCTGAACTGTAGTACAAACTCAAGAAGCATGATGACGAGTCTGTCTGACCTCTTAGGCCAGTCTTCATTATGTTCGGGAGGCCGTATCGTATCGTGGATTATTTACTGCTGGCTGGTTTGGTACGAGAGAAAAACACTGTTCCCGGCTAGAAATTTACGATCGTTTACGAGCAAGCGAACATGCTTC